CACTGATTTAGTCACCCATGCTATAGGCACTGGGGACAGCCCACCTGTGAGGTCCAGTCCCTACAGGACTATAGGGGCTCATGCTGTGCAGACTGAGAACGAGATTCAAAAGATGCTAGAGTTGGATGTGATTGAACCAAGCCATGCAGCATGGGCCAGCCCAATTGTCATTGTGCCAAAGAAAAATAATGTTAGAGAAATTTTGGATGAGGTTATATTTTGTGTGGACTACAGGAAATTGAATAGCATGAATGTTCCTGACCTTTACCTCGTATGGATTCTCTGACTGAAAAACTATCCAATGCTATGTACATTTCTGTAATAGATATTTCCAGTGGGCACTACCAAATAAAGCTAGAAGAAGGGGTGATGGACAAAACCACGTTCATAAGCCACGTAAGAACTTTCCATTTCAGAAGGCTCTTGCACAGATTGAAGAACACATGAGCGATTTTCCATAGAATGATGGACAAACTGTTAGCTGATCTTCCATTTGCTTTGGCTTATTTGGATGATCTTGCTATATTTAGTCCTGATTTTGCCTTCCATATATCTCACATTGAAACTGTGTTATGTAGCTTGCAGAATGCTGGTCTGACAGTCAAAGCCAACAAATGTCAGTGGGTAAAAGCGAAACTTTTGTATTTGGGTCATTTGATTGGTCGAGAAATTCAACCCATACAGGTCAAGGTGGACAGTATCCTAAAGTGGCTTGTTCCTATCTCAAAGAAACAGGTGCAATTATTTCTAAGCCTGGTTGGTTATTACAGGAAATTCATTTCTAATTTCAGTGACACGGCAGCTCCTTTGACAGAGCTCATAGAAAAAACCTGATTGTCAAAAAGCTTTTGATGCCTTGAAAACTAAAATTATTTCCTCTCCTCTCTTGAAATCACCTGATTTTGACAAACCTTTTGTGTTACAGACTGATGCTTTAGATTGGGGATTAGGAGCTGTGTTGTTGCAAAAAGGGGATGATGGGATTTGTTATCCTATCAGTTTCTTCAGTAAGAAGCTAATTCTCAATGAAAGGGCCTACGCTGTACCTGAAAAAGAGGCCTATTCTATTGTATGGACATTTTAACATCTCCAGCCATACCTATGGAGGTGCAAATTTGTCCTGCAGACTGACCATCGTGCACTGGTCTGGTTGCAAAAGATGAAATCTCATAACCAAAAAGTGTTGCATTGGAGTTTAACATTGCAGGATTTCGATTTTGAGGTTTAACACATTCCAGGCAAGATGAACATCGTGGTAGACAGCTTCTCTAAGATGCATTGTGGCATGGAAGATGGTTGAACAAGTGGTTCCTGATTTACTGGTTCCTGAGCATAACCAGAGTGTATTACTGTTTTAATACTAACCTGACTGTTTTCTATTTTTCAGACTCCTAGACTTGCTTAACACCAAGGTTCTATATTCAAATGCTGCTGTTACAACTTTTTCTACGTCATGTTTTGCTACTTAGAATGCATACATTAAATTGCCATTGATTATTATTTCATTGTATAACTTTAAAATAGAGTTAGTGAGATTACTAGGCCAAACCATGTAACCTAGCTTTTGTTTAGACAAAAATGCAGGCTTGTTTGTAACCCTGGATTTTTGTATCTTAAGGTGTGGTGTGTCATAAGATTGAAGGAGAGTGGGGTTCGTAGTCAATGAGCATGAAAGAAAATGGAGTCTGTTAGGTTTTAAAAGTGAAAGGAGTTGAAGACATGGGAATGAGAGAAAGGAAGAGAAGAGAGGTTATTTTTCTTAATTTACAGCCAGGCTGGAACAGCATGAAACCTGATAAGGATGCAAGGACAAGGAGGCCCAGTGCGAAGACCCAATAAATTCTTTTCTAATTAAAATGGAGATAAACCACCTGCATCTCCATGAGAATTGGGGGTGGAGAGGACAGTTATGCCTCTTTGAGTTAATTGGTTTACAGTCATGAAGAAGAAGGTCCGAGGAATGTAGAAAATTGGACGATGGGCTATGTGAGAGAGAGACCATGGGGAGGAAGAGAACTTTTGCCTGAGATAAGTTATTGATGGTATCTGTTCTGTAGTTTGCAGGAAAAAGAATGTAGGTAACAGAAGGAGGTGGGGCTAACCCACCTTAGCCTAGTTTTAGTGTTTATTATTTTAATGGGAATTAGTTGCTGCAATTAACTATGGCAGTGGTCAGGGAACAGGAGTAAATTACCCCAAATGGGGTAAAAGTGAAAATCCTGGGGTTGATGAGCAGAGTGCTACCCTCCTCTCTCCCACCCCCACCCTCTGCAGCCAAAGCTCAAATTGTAAGCCACCTCTCCCTGTTACTTCCTTGGTTGCAGCAGGGCACTTGTAAATCCTCCGTTCTTTCAGAGATCAGAGATAAGCCTGCTTGAGAGAGAGAGAGACTGAATCAAAACTATGAAAAAGAACAGGCAAGCAAAACAGAAGGCTTGAATTAACGCGGGGGGGGAGGGGGGCTTTTTAAGATGCTGTCTAGGTTTGTCATCGCTTTCCTCCCAAGACGCAGGCGTCTTTGAATTTCGTGGCTGCTGTCCCTATCTGCAGTGATCATGGAGCCCAAGAAAGTAAAATCTGTCACTACCTCCATATCTTCCCCTTCTATTTGCCAGGAGGTGACGGGACCAGTGGCCATGATCTTAGTTTTTTTGATGTTGAGCTTCAGACCATTTTTGGCTCTCCTCTTTCACCTTCATTAAGAGGTTCTTTAATTCCTCCTCACTTTCTGCCACCAGAATGGTATCGTCTGTATATTTGAGGTTATTGATATTTCTTCCAGCAATCTTAATTCCAGTTTGGGATTCCTCCAGTCCAGCCTTTCTCGTGATGTAGTCTGCATAGAAGTTACAGTAAATAAACAGGGAGACAATATATAGCCTTGTCAAACTACTTTCCCAATTTTGAACCAACCAGTTGTTCCATATCCAGTTCTAACTGTTGCTTCCTGTCCCACATATAGATTTCTCAGGAATTAGATAAGGTGGTCAGGCACTCCCATTTCTTGAAGAACTTCCCATAGTTTGTTGTGGTCCACACAGTCAAAGGCTTTTGCATAGTCAATGTAGCAGAAGTAAATGTTTTTCTGGAATTCTCTGGCTTTCTCCATAATTCAGCACATGGTAGCAATTTGATCTCTAGTTCCTCTGCCCCTTCAAAATCCAGCTTGCACTTCTGGGAGGTTCTCGGTCCACATACTGCTGAAGCCTGCCTTGGAGGATTTTGAGCATAACCTTGCTAGCGTGTGAAATGAGTTCAATTGTATGGTAGTTGGAGCATTCTTTGGCACTGCCCTTCTTTGGGATTGGGATGTAGAATGATCTTTTCCAGTCCTTTGGCCACTGCTGAGTTTTCCATTGATTATGATGAAAAAAAGCACACTGGTCCTTTAATGTTGGGCTATGGCACCAGGGTGGGTGACATGACTTTTAGCCTGGCTTGTTCCTTTTTGCACACCACACACAGAATGATTAAAGTGGTAGGAAAAGCCCCCCCACAACTTTGCCTTGGCTGTCTCTAGCAAGCACATCATTGCGAGTACCACTCTGGGAGCCATTGATGATGATTAAATCCTCTGTGAGCTAGCAAACATTTAATGCAACTTGCTAGGCACATTGGACACCTTACTAGTCCATCTACCACCCCATGGCTTGTGTGCAATGTGTTCCAGCAAAAATAGTGGACATCTTTGTTAAGTTTGTGCAAACCCATAGTTCAGTACATCTCCTGGCAGCCATTGATACTGATGATATATCCTGCTAGTTCGGTACACAGCCTGTGTAGATTCAATAAGATTTTGAATTCAAATAATGTATGATTTCCTTCCTTTCAAATCAAGGGGGTAATGTCGGCACATATAAATTTTTTAGGGGGTAAAAGG